ACATCTTTATATGCGTGATTATTAAGAATTTTCGTTTAGCCGAAAAAATTCCCCCTGCGAGAGTTACCTGTTGCTTCGTAATGTACCCCATGATATACCGATACGTGCATGTTGAGGTATAAATCGTGAAGTAAACTATAGCATTCGCGATGGCCGTCACAAAACCAGAGTATGGTCCCAAGGGCTCTGCGCGAATCTTGCCCGCAACCACATCAGTTGATCTGAGGAGTTTACTCATTAATTAGAGGAGTTCATATACTAGTTGATTTGGAAATTTGCGGAAATTTCTTCAGAATTTTCACATTTTCACCAACACATGTAATCGACCATTTCCCATACTGAACTTCCTAACCTTAGAATGAGAACCTTACTGGTTAGAGACTTTCGATATACTCTGTGGAAAAAAGATATTCATCAGCAGCAACTGAGTCATTATACAACCCGTTAAAAATTCATAACGAAAAATCTCTTTTTGTATTAACTCGTGCCCGAGAGCATTCCAAGAACTTTGTAATAATTTCCGAAGACTTTGTAATAATTTCCGAAGACTTTGTAATAATTTCCAAAGACTTTGTAATAATTTCCAAAGACTTTGTAATAATTTCCAAAGACTTTGTAATAATTTCCAAAGACTTTGTAATAATTTCCAAAGACTTTGTAATAATTTCCGAAGACTTTGTAATAATTTCCAAAGACTGTAAAAAATTTCCAAAAACTTTGTAATAATTTCCAAAGACTTTGTAATAATTTCCAAAGACTTTGTAATAATTTCCAAAGACTTTGTAATAATTTCCGAAGACTTTGTAATAATTTCCAAAGACTGTAAAAAATTTCCAAAAACTTTGTAATTATTTCCAAAGACTGTAAAAAATTTCCAAAAACTTTGTAATTATTTCCAAAGACTTTGTGATAATTTTCAAAGTTTCTTACCCAGTGACAATGACAGCGAACATGAGTAAGGATATAACAAGCTGATCATGTCGGTATTGTTCTCCCTCTGTTACAGCTGCCTCCGTGGTCGTCGTCGGCCTTCCCACTGTTGGAGGCATCGTTGAATTACGCTGCAATGTGCTGGTCGATACCTTCCCACTGGGCGATGAATCATCCATATGGTAAAACACCCACTGAGAGGGATTACTGATAATTCTATGTCCTAGGGTAATACCTAGCGTGTTCACATTATTTTGCTGTGAAGGCATAATCGTGCGTGAAAAATTCACATTCTCAGGAGTCTGCGGTATCTTCTAATCACTGTATTACTCCATCTTACTACTTTTTTGTGGAAGCAGAATTATACAACACGGTAGATTATTGTCGCCAAACGGCGAGCGCAGAAGTGATGAGCACGCAAGTGCATAGCTAAATTTGCTAAGCGAACCAGTAGTCGTTCTGTTCTTTCATTTGAGTCTTTGAGGAAAGTGTTATGGTAGTATCATTATCATTTTGGTGCTTTTCCGTCCATGCCTGGTGCAAGACCGTAGGGTCTCTACGGATGAAGTCTACTATACCTGGTCAAGTGCTTGGGTTGGATCATGTGGTGAACTTACCTACGGGTGACGGTAATTTCCATCACGTGTTGAGTCTCGTTTGTGCAGCTACAGGCTTCACTTGGTTTCGAGCTACAAAAACCACAAGGTCTATCGAGACTACAAAAATCCTAGATAGCATCTTTAGTGATGCGTCTTTCCCTATCTGTCTCGTGGTGGATGGCGGATTTAATTCGACTCATTTCCGAGAGTGGTGTACTACTCGCCACATAATGGTTGCGACCCTTCCTCCACATCATCGGAGCTATGGAGGTTGGTTGGAACGTTGCCATCTACATCTGAGACAATATTTCGCTACTAAGCACGCGTCTGGTGAGGAGGTGAAAGAATGGCCATCATGGTTGGGTGACCTGCAGTTGGTTCACAGTCTTCCACACAGTCTTGAGGCGAGTAGTAAAAAAATCTCACAGTCTTCCCTGGTTTGGACTTTGGTCCTGCTGATTTATTCTATGGCCGTCGGTTACTGAGACCTTGGCGTACTGCATCATCCTCTACTGAGACAAATAAGGACGTGTTGCAAGGTGTTCGTCAATTATTATGTCCTGAAGAAGAGTCCTTTCTTGAAGACTTATACAGATGCCGATGTGAGGAAACTCGTTTACGCTTCGAGGAGTATAAGAGATTTTGGGAGGATGTGAAGGAAGTACAACAAGTAAGATTGAGTCGAAGAGTGAACAATCATTCTCTGAAGTCTCCTGAGTTTCCTGTCGGTAGTAAATGTCTCGTCTATTGTCCGGAGTCGAATCAGTCCAAGCATTCTTTGAAGTTCGCTGGTCCTTTCGAGATCGAAGAGATGGTTTCTGATTCACTCCGTAAGATTAAGTCCGCTGGTCAAGGTGGACATGGTATCAAGGATATATCACCGTTACAAAGTGTTCACAATCTCTATCCCTACTACACTCGTGATGATGACGAGATTCAATGTTGGGTACAGTGTGATCTGTGTGACAGGTGGATTCCTGTTACATCGTCTCTTTATGGTAGATTTTCTGCTGTAACTACTCGTTTCAGCTGTTGTCTAGCTGGTCTTACTTGTCGTGTGGCAATGTCGCCAAACGGCGAGCGCAGAAGTGATGAGCACGCAAGTGCATAGCTAAATTTGCTAAGCGAACCAGTAGTCGTTCTGTTCTTTCATTTGAGTCTTTGAGGAAAGTGTTATGGTAGTATCATTATCATTTTGGTGCTTTTCCGTCCATGCCTGGTGTTGCGCCGTGTGAACAAGGAACACAACAATATCAAGAACAAGGGACATCAGATGGACTGTTACATTATATCATCCTCTACTGAGCATTTACATGCATTTCTTGCATTTAGGTCAAATATACTGAGTAAAGTTTTCTTATCACATTCCGGCGATGTCGAGGGTCAAATGACTGCTATGCAAACACTAATCGAACCAATCGATTATTATCTACATAGAGACAAAGAGCGATGGGTGATAATGAAACTCGCAATGGGAGGAAGTCCAATGGGGACAAATTGCACAATGGCATTCCAGCGCTGGAACTAAACAGTTCATTGAGATGGAGTTCAATCATATGACCAGATAGCATTCACTGTACTGGGTTAATAAGAAATACTTGGTTCTATCAAGAGTGCCACTTGTATTGGATGAGTCCGAAGACAGTCCGTTGGATGAGTCCGTTTGGTTGCATCGCTCCGCGAAAGCTTAACGCTTCTTTGAATCGATCAGCTGATCGATTTGATGCAGCTTGGATTTCATTGGAGTTCCCTTCACACCAGGGTTTGGTCTTCTCCAACATGGCTCATAAGTCCAACCCCTATAAGAAGGCCCGTGCGGCCATGCGTTGGAAGTGGAAGAAGAAGCGTACTCGTCGTCTTCAGCGTAAGCGCCGGAAGATGCGTCAGCGTTCCAAGTAAACTCGTCTCTGAGTTCACTTGCCGCCCGCTGTTGTCGAGAAGCTGCTGATTCCCAAGGATAATGAGAGGTAATTCCATCTATTCTTGATTGTTCTTGTTCATTATCTTGCTATTTTCAGGTTGATAATAGCATCATTCGACTTGTCCAAGGCTGTCACCGCTACTTTTAACCACCCCGGTCTCAAAGAGTCTCTGTCGTCGTGGTGTTCTCAATTAAGTGTCTCTCTTCTACGGAGCGCCTTCTAGTGGGGATGAGGTTTCCTCAGTTCGCTGAGGAGGATATCTTTATTCCCAATGGAGAGCTCTGGAAATCTGTAAATTGATAAGATCATATGATGATAAAACACGACGGTCTTATGAACCCACTAGATGGGATCTGATTCCACTTATAACTCAGCTCACTCTGATAAGATCTGTTCCTCACGGCAATTCCGACACTTGAAGTTGGTCTGTTCACGTCAGTGACAAACTTCTCTATATTGCCAATATCGCATCGTTAGCTCAGCTGTCTGATCGGTCGTCATACTGGTACAGATCGTTCATTGCGCGATACACTTTAATGATTATTTTTCTCATTGGCAATTCCGACACTTGAAGTTGTTCTGCTCACGTCAGTGTAAAGCTTCTATTTACATTGCCAATATCGCCTCGTTAGCTCAGCTGTCTGATCGGTTTTCATACTGGTACAGATCGTTCATTGCGCGATACAACTTTCTATGGTCGTTTTCCGATGGCTTTTAACATCCCTCGTGTGAAGCGGTGAAATTCAGTAGCTGCAGCGGTACTCGCTGGGTATTGCCATCGCATAGAGAACATGCTGTCCTCTTAAGTGGGTTGATCGTATGCCAGGGCTCTCCACCGAAGCCGAAGTTTACGGCCGACTTTGTCGGTCTTTCTAGCGGCTTTGACTAGCAGCTCTGGACATCTCTATTCACTGACCTATAATGTTCTCGGGGAGAATCCATTTTGGGTTTTCGATATGGCTAGAAACGCATCCTACCATCGTTTCCCATGTAACTGTCTTCACATCAGGAACGTTTCTTGCTATGTTATAAAACCAAAGGTAGATGTATCTCTGTTACTAATCGCTGTCTCGTCTTGAGTGATGACTTAGATAGTCATATGCTTACAATAGGAAGCGTATAATTCTAGTTACTCGGTGTTGCGCTTTCCTTATCAATGGGTTTGTTGCTATGATGTGTATCGTACAGTCCAAGTGTCGCACTTTTCTCGTTGATTGGTTTGTTGTTACGATGCTCGTAAGTGCAACAAAGCACACTCTGTGGTGAGGGTGGTCGTCCTTCGTTACAATTCCCAACTTTGCCATGGGGAATTCCGATTCCTATACTCGGTGAGTTGAAAAGACTCACGGGGCTTCATATTTTCGAATCATTCCAAGGAGTACTAGGTCTTCGGTGCGAAGGGGCGGAGCTCGCTGAGCTTCCTATGAAGAATTCTGCGGGCTCTTATTGAAATTATTTCGGAGATTGGTGACTAAAAAACAAAAGGTTGTCGGGTGTTGGCTGGCGTCGTCGACGTGGCCGACCACTGTCTCCTTATAGAGACATGTGAGAAAAATGATCATCGTGGGATTTGATCCTGGGCCGTTCGGTTGAGAGTCGTGGTCCCTAACGTACTGAGCTAATAGTTCAACTCTTGTGCGAAGAACCGTTTCGTGAAAAATCAGCGGGCAAAGCAACAGCCACACTTTCGCTATATTTTTACGCTGATGAGCAGTGAACGGGGGACTGAATGATACCCTGTTTGTCTTCTGAATCGCCCTGGTCGGGTCGGAATTTTTGCTCACGCACGGTCGGTCGGACGCACGCACACGAGTGTTCGTGCGCAGTAACATAAGCTCCGCTCGCTTCGCTCGCTCCGCAATTTCATAAAAGTTGTTTCCGATAGTGAAATCTATAATTAGAATACACAACGTTGTAGATGCCAAATGCTTTGTGAAGACACGTGATAGAATTGATGGCTGTGTATGAGCATTCCGTAGAGACGGTTCATCAGAAATGGGTGGTATGGCGATCAAACTCATAAACAAGTGTGTCTATACTAGACCAGCTCACTCGATGCCGACAGACCTCGTATAGCCGTTGAAAGAATTTAATTTGTTCGTAATCAGTTCGGGTCCTATTCATCTTGCCGTAAACGTGATGGTCTGATGAACATATCTAGTGAACGAATAATGAGTAACTCGCTCTAGGACTTCGCGATAGAGATCTTGGCAATCTCGTGCACTTCTGTGTTTAAATTTCGAAATCTGCTGTACAGAGTGGTAAGGGCGAAATCGATTCTGTGGAACTATAAAAGAGAATAGTCAGTCCTTAATCATATGGTGTAGATGATCTCTTCGAGAGCGATCGGCGAGGTACAATTATGGTGATTGGTGACAGCGACCAACACAAAGCTTATAAAATGCTCGAGTGATCGATTTGATGCAGCTTGGATTCCATTGTAGTTCCCTTCACATCAGGGTTTGGTCTTCTCCAACATGGCTCATAAGTCCAACCCCTATAAGAAGGCCCGCGCGGCCATGCGTTGGAAGTGGAAGAAGAAGCGTACTCGTCGTCTTCAGCGTAAGCGCCGGAAGATGCGTCAGCGTTCCAAGTAAAGGATAACAGTCCAAGGTAAACCATCACTGGGAAAGTGTCTACTTTACATACGTTTTTGCTTTCAGATGCTGTGATGATGAAGATACTCGAGAAGAATTGTTACCCTCTGCCAATTGACGACTTTTGTGTCCCGCTTTTGCGGTCATAATAATAATCGCCCTCCCGTGCTTATGTGATGTGTATTGAGTTCGCAGTTAGGGAGGAGGAGATAACATAGTCCAGAATTAGCTAACCGTACTCGTCAGTTTGTGTGTATCGAATCGTCTATCAGTCGAGTTTCCTAATACAAACCATCATAGATGGCTAAAGTCACCTAATTTCTGTTTAGTAATCGAAAGCCATAGTAAGAATTATCATCTCTGTACATATCCTATTCACAAATCATCATCAAATATGCTCACTAAATATCACTCCTTCTCCTGATATTCGCTTGATATTATGCAAGCGATTCCGCGGTTCACAGAAGGAGTTCAGTCGAGATGGGGGTTGTATGCGGCGTCAAAACTGGGCCACCTGACAAACGGGTTCGCGGACAAACGCAACACATTCGATGGGTGAATGATTACACTCCAGATTTGCGATGGAATACGATCTGAAATGAATCGTGAAATAGAAAAATGATTCACTGCAGACCCATGGAATCGATGCCGGGGTCTTTAGCGCAGGGTGAAAGATGTGAAGTAGCGGACCAATAAGAAACAACTGACTCGATCACCTATCCAGCGATCATTCAGAACGAGAATTATTTGCAACCGATGGGGGCGTCCAAAGAGTGTAAGACGGTATTCGGTGAAGACCAAAGTCAAACGCGTCTACTGTATGGAAACCGAGTGCATCAATACTCAGAAAGACTTGGGCGGTCAGGTTTGAGCCTGAAGGATTTACAAAGCCCGTCGCCACCAAATAAGCTGGTATGGTATAGAGGTCATCGCTCATGGGCTTCACCACGAGGCTCTCGATTTCCAGGCGACCAATAGATTCACGAAGCCCAAGGTATCTCGTGTTTGGAATATTATAGTAAAGGGGAGCATAGACAGATTGGATCGTCATGCCTGTCCACATCCTATTGCGGATTCTAAGGTCAATAGTGCCTCTCACGCAGTGACGTGCTGCACTCTGTAGAGTTATTAAACCGCACCAGACGTGTTGATTCAAATTCAGTTTTTCCACTGAAAGCTGCAGAACCGATGTGGGGTGGTAGACCATAAGTAGCACGATGCAAATATAGTATAGGCCGCAAGCCAAGGACAGTCCAGGCAACAAAGCCCATACAGCTAGATGATACCAGAATCCCCTTTTTTTGTCAGCGATACCCTTGAGGATCCGCCACAACTTCAATGAGATCCTTCCAGATGGTGGCGGTCTTGACCATCGTAGAAATCCACTCGGAGTATCAGCAGAGTCATATTCAGCAATAACAGGTTTCATATCGGTGCGATGCAGAAACGGAGGTAGACGGCTTTAGAGCGTGAATCACGTGGCGTCACGTCTCGCGCCGTGTCACGGTTCAGGTAGGGACTTTATGGCTTGCGACAAGGCGAAGTTTGATCTCCATGTGAAACCGATTGGTAGCAATCGTTATCATAGCATATTCCATTTGTCAGCGAACCGCTCTGAAAATAGGTGCCACAACTGCCTCAGATGTTCAACACGTGCCGAGGTTGAACTCGTGCCCTTTCGCGTGACATTCTACACCGATATCGACTAGCACGAACTGACTGTATAATACACAAATTGCAGACGAAGTCGGGTTGAAATTAAAGACGATTCGAATTGATGCAGTTCAAATTGAATCTGTGACGTATCTCTATATGCGTCAGAGCAACGATGAGATGTTTGGCGTGTTCTTATCATCACAGATGAGTGCTAAAAATTGTCGTCTCGAGTACAGCGGAGCGAAGCGTTTCACGATGTACATAATCCTCACCGGCACCTACTGGGCGCGCGCCCCCAAGAAATTTCTTAGACCCAAAAAATATTAGTGTTCCCGAAAACTTGAAATCCGAAGGATTGTAATGTGATGTCACCAAATCTTTTTCTTCAAGACAATGGTTGATGGGTTCGAGAGATGATAAACTTCATGTGCTGGCGATAATATGGAAATTTCGAGGGAATTGTTAATTTCTGAACACGATCAGCCTCCTCAACGGAATTGCCGTGAACTCTCGTGTGCCGTGTGACGTTTCTATTTGTGCAGGGTGCACAAATATGGAATCTCAGCTCAAAGCTAGTTGATGATTTTATTAATATGATTGTAGATAAATTATCTACATTCCATCAACCCTTGCCTTGACTCTCTCAATGGTTAACACCGTTCGGCACGTTGCGTAAGCAGAGTATAAGTGCTTAACGCAACAGCAGTGTGGGAAAATATGCTCATGGTTGCCCACATATGTTGGTGACAATATGGAAATTCTGAGGAAAATTTCCGACATTTTTGCGGGTTCCTGTACATTTCTACCCTAGTTTGTATATAAACTCCTATAGTTAGTGAGGAAACTCCCAGGGTCAACTGAGGAAAGCGATCATATATTACAACACTGCGCAACAGAGGCGACGGTGCATAACTTTGTGCATGCGTGCACTGTATGTGATACTATCAATTTCGCTACAGTAGTGATATAGTGGCACTTATGAGGTTGACTCACGCAGCATACGGGTCAGCTACCTACAGTTGATGTCCTCACGTGAAAAGTTACTACTACGTCGAACTGGACGCTCTTAAATCGACGTACCGTTGTAATTGGAGTTTCTGTAGGGAGATCTTGGTACAAGAACTCGCTAGCCTCAAGAAATTGAAGATTTTGATAGTGATATGGTGATTGATAAAATGTAGGCGCAAAATTTGCCTAGTACGAATGATACTGCGTCGTGTTGAGTCTGGTTTACCACTGTACGGAAATGTTGCACACAAGTGTCTCTTCAGATTCTTATGATACTTGTCTTCCTCGCTAGCCTAGCATATACTTTATGATTACTGTATTAACCACTTGTTAATAACTCTTGTTGACTTATCTAACAACAAGTGATACCTGATGATGAAGCCAGTGAGTGGATGAAATGATGGTATTCTCCCATCGGTCAATATCAAATCTAACCTTGGTCGTGACCTGAACACATGTCACCTACGCCCATTAGATTACTCTCGTCATGTATGGGTCCATGTAAGTGATTCTGCGGCTGAACAGAAGTGTGAGCGCTTACAGCCAGACCTAGTTCGCTGAGTGAGACAGATTATGACGATTTCTTGTTTGGCTAGGTGTATCATATTTTGTGATAATGTAGTTTTCCAGTGGAGGAAAAACTGCATCGCAGTACTTCCATTGGTGAGACCTCGTCGGTGAATGCCTGCCCACATCGTGGGAATGCGGAATTCACGAATTTCTTGTTGTGGTTTTCGGCGAACTGCCCCTGCCGAACTCGCAGATCAGAGCTTTCAAAGATCTTCGCGTATGGCAGCCATAAGGTTCGAATGCTGGTGATGGAGAAAAGCCGTATATAGATTTACTCGCGTTCTTCACACGTGTGGTGAAATTTGCACAGGATCAACCACATGTGTTGGTGAGAATACGAAAACTCTGCAGAAATTTTGGAGAATGTCTGTTTGTTTCTTTCCACTCCTCGTAAATATTCGCTCCATTCGTGTATGAACTCATATGATTAGTGAGGAAACTATTGAGCTCAGCAGCTGAGGAAAACGAGCACATTTCGCAGCACTGTTTTTAACCCAATGTGCGAGCAATACACTCGATATACTAAATACGGTTGTTCACGAAAATGTTTAAGAAATTACTCCAACGGAGTGAAAATAGAGCATGCAAGAGCGCACGATGAACACACTAGTGTAATCGATCTCAGCGAGTTGTTCTCTTCACGATACCAATGTCTGACGCTATCGTAGATGCTGCTTCGGCGATGCAGTCAAAGAACACTGCTATCGACATACCATTTAAATTCAGGTTTGACTACTTACTACTTTGCTTACTTTTACTACTTTGACTACTTGAAGATTGCTATAGAAATGGAATGGAAATTTGCCCACCTCGCGCACTATTACTACTTAAAAATTTTTGAGAGGAAACGTCATATCACGGAGTTTTGATCGCTAGTTACAGTCAATGACTCATTCAGTTTTGGGAAATAGCGTTTCCCAGAGTTCTAAAACAGTGAGAAATATCTTATTTCTCATCACAGATTTCAAATATGTGAAGACATTTACATCGGGAAACTGATTGAAGAATGTGTTCTTAATCATGTGAAAAATTCAAAATTCTTCGATCACCATCATCATTACCTCAGCGACAAGGCCGAAGCCAGAGCAGAGTATCGCAATCGCCTTCTAGCTGAACATAACAGCGATGGTACCTCGCTGGCTCTCATCAAACGAGACGAGGCAGTCTTCGCTAATGCTGATGAGGAGTTCAACGGGGTGGGTCGACGCCGGGTGTAGCGCGAATAATTTCTAGAGAGAAATAAAATATGTCATCAAGTGTGGTGACGTACAGCCGTATGGGAGAATATACACATGGTCAACTTTGTGTACTGGAGTTTCACCCTAGTGATATGAAAAACGCTAGTGAGAAATATATCTCACGACTACTGCATATCACCGCGAGTATCGCGTTTTTCCTACCGAGTTTTACGCCACTTCGCGTGAAACGGGTGAAACTTCATTGAAGTTTCACACGTTTTACGTGAAGTAGTGACTTGTATTTTTCCGCGACCGATTACACAATTGTTTTCTGCGATGTGAAATATGTTTTTCACTAGGGTTTTTTATATCACGGGTGAAACTCCATTGGTGACAATTATGAAATTCAGGGTTTTTTTTTGTTGATTTTTTCTGAATTGTGTATATGTTCCTGTTCTCAGGGAAGGAAGAGCGTAGTGAGCATATATTTTTATATTGATGTACACGAAATTTTTTCTACAAAAATTTACCTCATTTCGTGGCGATGTGGGGAAAGTGCACATACGGTCAACTACATGTGGTGGTGACAATATGGAAAATTTGAGGAAATTTTAAGAAATTTTTATCGGTTTCTGTACACTTCTACTCCAATTCGTATATAAACTCCTATAATTAGTAAGGAAACTCCTGAACTCAGCTGAGGAAAGCGAATATATATGTTCCGAACTGGTTGTCGTATACTGTTGTCAATGTGTTGGGAATTTTTGGAAATTCTTATTCGTTTCTCTACACTTTTACTCCAATTCGTATATAAATTCCTATAATTAGTGGAGAAACTCCTGAACTCAGCTGAGGAAAGCGAACATATATGTTTCACCCGTGATATGGAAAAAACTAGAGAGAATATATTTCACAAACCACTGTTTATCGCGAATGCCCGGTTTTTCACCGAGTTTTGCACCACTTCGCGAGAAACGGGTTAAACTCCATCGGTTCTCGTATATTGTTGTTATCAGCGTTTGTTCATTCAGGAAATAGCAGCAGAAATTCTCGAACTCCCGAGCGGCACTCGCGTGCTTGATCTGCATTCTCAACTTCAGAAAATATCAGACGATTTCAATGACCTTGTTGATAATCTTCTAGATGAACGCGAAAAGGTGACCGTGATTATCTCCTCGAGTTTTGGTTGAAAATATTCCCAGGACTTTTTCCTGGCGTACCGAACTCATATGAATGCTGTGCAACGTGAGCTGGCTTCGTTGAAAAACTTGTCGGATTGTAAGGAAACAAGAGCTCGACGCTTGCAAAAGGTGTGCTGAATGCATCGTGCCTAGTATTAGATAATTGGTATCATCAGATACGGGTGTTGGAAAATGAACTGCAGTGGTTTACTTCTGAGGCCTTGAGGTAAATCAATATAAAACGTTATCGATTACGAACGCAAGTCGGCGAAAAGTCTGCATGGCTCTTACGAAAATAAAATAAGATTAAATGAGATTAAAAATGAAAGTGAACGAAATGATCCACACCAAGTATTCTACTCTCACTGAGAGCGTATTCCCATCACTATAGTTAGTCATACCTCGTGAGGACTTATCATTCCGAGAATCAGAATCGCTCTAGGAGCGATACCCACTCCCGTTATCTTGGTGATAATATGAAAATTCTGAGGAATTTTTGGAAAAATTTTACTTGATTCTACCACGATGCGTATGTGAACTTCTCTTGTTAGTGAGAAAACTCCTGAACTCAGGTGAGGAAAGCGAACGCATATTACAACACTGGAGTTCCACCCGTTTTACGTGAAGTGGCGTAAAACTCTGTGAAAACCGCGATATGTGCGGTGCTATGCAGTAGTCGTGAAATAGATTTTTCACTAGTGTTCTTCATATCACTAGGGTGGTGAAACTCCACTGTTGCATAGTACTTCGATGAATTTCGACCCAAAACTGTTATTTCCGTTAGGCTCGACGACATATGTACAAAACACCAGAAACGTCTTGACAAACTGCGCGATAACGTACAGGAGATAGAAGATGATCGTGTTTTCCTGGAAAGGGAAATCGCGCTCTCTAGAAAGGAGTTCAAGACATTAAAAGAAGCAGTTGATCGAGCACAGGTGAGCAGCAGTGTGAACCAAACCGTTATTTGAAGTAAGATTTTCAACGATTTCAATTTTCGGGAGTTCGAAAGTTAACTTTGAGTAATATCAACATGAATCGATTGACAACGTAATGTAGTGGTAGAATTCTCGAGTATCTATAATTACTAATAATATGGGATGAAAAAAATCATAGTTTGTGTCTCAACATTGAGAATTTAATACTGCAACGATGATGCACTACTTGGTTATTTCGAATCCAAGAACATTCGTTCCTATGCCTCAGAGAAGGACTGAAGATGACAGTGAAATGTCGTTGACGTCAAGCGAAGCATATACTGATGAGAATAGCAGGAAGATTGATGAGGAGTATCACAACACTGAACAGTGAGAACCTCGAATTGAAAGCTCACCAGATGACGGAATACACACCATACTGGAGTTACATTCGTGATGTGAAAAACACTAGTGAAAACGATATTCCATATTTCACTAGGCGAAAAACAATTGTGAAATCGGCCAAGGAAAAGTATAAGTTCTATAATTCACATGAAGTATTACACTACTTCCCGTGAAACGGTGAAACTTCACTAAATGGTTGTAGGAATCTCGATCCAGTCAAAGAAAGTGAAATACGACGACGATACGACAGAGTCATTGCGAACTTGAATAATCTCATTCAAAATGAAGCCGCGGCTGTTTGTCGACTTCGCGACTTCGCCGTAGATGAGAATTCAGCAGGCGCGCGAAGCCTGGAAGAGACCTTTGCACGATGTGTTGATGAGGTGAATCCTGGGTGGGAAAATATGCACGTAGTCGAATTCATGTGTAGGTAACATCTGTGAAAATTCTGAGGAAAGTCTCATTGGTTTCGGTACACTTCTACAAGAATTTGTATGTAAACTTCAATCATTAGTGAGAAAAGATCTGAGTGACTAAGCTAAGGAAAGCGAACATACTTTCCAACACTCGGGAATGTATTGGAAATGAAGTTGTCGGTCGTACCTAGAGTAGGAGCCTTTTTAGCCTCGACAGATAACGTCACCTAGGGTTTGATAACAAGGAAGAAGATGTTCCTAATGTGATGATGACATTTACATGGGGAACTGATTGAAAAATGTGTTCCTAGCCATCCGTGGAAAATTCACAATGAGATCCCCCCCGGGAACATCATGGATTCCTCAATTCCTCAATATTCAGATGAGGAAACAGATTATTAGGAGAAGGAGTGGTATCAGTGATGGAAGCCCAAAAGACGGTACGGCTATGCAATCGAATACCTTTATGGGTTTGGTGTCAGCTGAGTTGAGTTGGCTCACTGCTGGCGACCGAAAGCGACTCATCGAGGCGTTCTTGCTCGATAGAGAGGTGTACAGAGATAGGCGAGTATTTTTGACGTGTAGTGTGTGCGAGGTACTTGAATTCCTCCTTGCTGAGGTGCCTTGGTCGAGTGAAAGTGAAGGTGTGTTGTAGCATGATGATAATTAGTCATGTTTTCTTGTTGTTGATATGTCGTGTTTTGAAGGATAAGAAATGGATTCATGACGATTTGAGAAAACCAAAGACTGAGTCGCATTGACACTAATAACTCGGTTATAGTTGCAATTGTTGAGAGGCATGCTTGGGTTGATAGAGAGATTACTGTAAGGGCTGATGTCAAATGAATGTGAAGATTTTACGCATGTGAAATTATCTACCGTACAACAATCGACCGAGATGGTCGTGTAGCGGTATGGGAAGATATGCACATGGTCAACTGCATGTGTATGTGACACCTACGGAAATTGCGGAAATTCTTATTGGTTTCTGTACATTTTACACCTGAACTTGCATAATAACTTCTCAAATTAGTGAGGAATTTCCGGGGCTCAGCTGAGGAAAGCAAAGATATATTTCGACACTGTCGTGTAGTTGAAGGTGTTGAACGGTTTTGAAAGGCATTGCATGGTGCGTGCTAAGAATTCAAGTTACCAACGCTATAGAAAACGGGAGAGATGCTTACTTTTGACTTGGATAACAGCAGCAGTTGAGGCTGCGGCCAAGAAGCTGATGCCGGGAATCTGACGACGCCTTTGAGACTCAAAACGGAGTTTACTCACTCAAAGTTTGAGTGAGTAAACGTGACTATGTACAATGGAGTTTCACCACCCTAGTGATATGAAAACACTAGTGAAAAATATATTTCACGACTACTACATATCACCGCGAATATCGCGTTTCTCACAGAGGATTACGCCGCTCCGCGTAGAACGGGTGAAACTCCAATGTATTTCTCGCTAGGAAAGTTCAATCGATACCAGTAGTATATGCTAAGGAGCGAACGATCGCTAACTTGCATTGGGGACAGTCAACGTTATGCGCATGTCTCAACGTTGTCAGGGAGGGAAGTTGTGCTCACGTTGTGTGGTTTGAATTGGAGATTTCTGTCAATTAAAAAATGGAGTAATTCTGGGATAAAACAACACCGAAAGAATGTTGGTAGCGGATAACGTGGATTGAGATGTACGTTGAAGCACCCTGGGGTGAACAGTCATTCGTGTCGTCCTTTGCAAGTCGTACTGGAGTACTCGCCTTGTACAGTTGACTTTAAAATCGGCGCAAGATGCCTCATGCTAATCTAATGGGAAGGTATGAGACTTGGAACGTGGGTGGAGAACAACCAATGAGAGTCTTACAGCGAGGGACGTATCGGCCCCTTTTGTATAAATCGACAGGCGTGCGATGGAAACTGCCACAGCGTTTCACAGTACGTCGCTCAACGGTTTGAAACGATCGGGCAAGCGAGCTAGCCTTGCATATAATGTCAGTCAACTGTCTATTTAAACTCCTGCTACGTACTCCTGGGGTGGTGCATCCTTTTTTCGGATCTTTTTGCTTAATTCAGCTTGATCGTCCATCCCGTAATGATGCGTGTTCTCGTTGCCGCTACCGTCCTTGCCTGCAGCATGTCGCAGAGGACCACAGCTCCCGTGATTACGACTTTGAGCTCGAGTAATGCCAGCTCTTCGGCCACGTCGAAGTTCCCTGGAAAGCCTCCAAATGTTACTACCGTTGCTCCGACTACCATGGCTGTCAATTCGTCTGCAACTACGAGCACCACAGAGTCTTTGAGTGGTCAACCAGTTGTTATCAATCAGACATCAACCTCATCGACCTCTAGCCTTGCTTCTACTGCAATCGCAATGAACAGTACTGGTGGTCCGACTACTACCGCTTATCCGAAATCTATCGGAAATATTACGACGACCGGTTCTAGTACGGCGAGTAGGAGTAGACTTCGAGTGACGTCTGTCGCCCCATCGAGTATTCCGGAAGCGAAACCAATAAGCAGTACTCCGACTCCGTCAGCTGCTATGCGCATTTCTCCTTCTGAGCCATCTAGCAATACTTCGGTCGCTACCACAGTAGCGGCGCCTACGTCGATTGCCTCATCCGTGAAAGAATCTCATGTCGTTGCATGCCTCCTGATTTTGTCAATTTTGTCTTAAATGCTTGGTATGACCAATTGTCATTCGAGAGCTCCCGTTTTCTACAAGTATGCGACGATCACCGTCTGCTCCATTTTGTACTGATTATTCACTGCCCCCGAGGAAAAGCGTTCTGTTGACAATTTGGGTTGAGTGACGTTGTGATTGGTCAGTTCATTTCAACAGCTTCGTAATGCGCTTCTTCATTCCTATGTCTCTGGCTGCTGTGGTTGCTGCACAGACTAGTGAGGTTACTTCAACGTCGACT